TTACAACTTAAGTTGGTGCCCTCATAGAGATCATTCCCTCAGCCTAGCTAGGAATAAGATTGCAGCTTTATCTCGTTTCTTTTATTTAAAAGGTAATCAATTTGTCCCGGCAGCTCTCCAGATTTTTCAGGCATCTGTTATCTCTCGTTTGCTGTATGGGGTACCTATATGGATCCAAAATTTTAATAAAAAAGTAGAAGTGCTACCTTCTTTTGTAGGATTTTAGGTTTTCCTAACTCTGTTTCTTATTTTTCTCTTTGTGCGGAGTTAGGTGCCCACCTTATTGAATCTCGGGCATGGATCACCACTATTAAATATTGGTTGCATTTGCACTTTAGTTCTCCCCCTAACAGCCTTATTGCTCAACTTCTTACAGACCCATATATTTCTACTTGGTCACAAATTATAGTGGAGAAAATCAAAACCATGATGGGAATTGATTTGGCCTCCTTGTACAATTGTGGTGAAACAGCTATTTTGCAGGTGGTACGGAGGAGGATTTGGGATATGGAAGCCCAAACAATTAATGCTGGGAGCTATGGAGTCTGTTCTCCACGCTCCCTTGACCTCCCCCCCCAAGCTTCTATGGCTCTGTACATCTCTAATCTAACCCACATTATTGGCGGGTTTTTATGCTAGCAAGATTCAATCTTTTCCCCTCAGCTGTTGTTTTAGGCAGATATAGGGGTATTGCCTATAGGGACAGAACCTGCAATTGTCCCTATAGTGAACCTGATTCAGTTGCTCATATCCTTCTACATTGTCCTCAATATTCTACTATGCGTAGCTATCTGATTAGTCCCCACTTACCTACCACAAGGAACCCGACTGATAATAACCTTAAAATTTTATTGTCTGATAAGTCCCCGGCAATTACTTTGTCTGTTGCCGAATTCTTAGGCTATGTTTGGAAGCTTAGGGTAGGGGTGTACAAGCCTTAACCCCCTTGTATTTTTTAGAATTGCTATATTCTCAACTGAGTCTATTATTTCCGAAAAGCTTATAAAAACGATTCCTTGTTGGTGCAGCATGGTGTAAATTGTTATAATCTATTACTTTGTGCTATTTATTTTCTGTTTGTTTCATTGTTCTCTTTGCTGCTGTGTTATGCCAATAAAGGTCTATATGTGATTTTTCTGCACATCTGGGTATTGCTCCAAATGTGCAGGAAAATCTCCCTGCCCCTCAAGTGCCCTCGATGTGCGGATTTAGATATCTGCACGGAGGGGGCATGTTGGGAATTAGATATATAGATTTCAGGTGCTGAGGAGAAGGAGATTTCTCTCCACGTAACTGCTGCATTAAGTAAAGGGGGGCTGGAATTCAAGTAGGGAAGGTTTAAAATTCCAAGGGGGATTGATTTTTAATGTTATAGAGTTGCTCAGACTTGCCTGTCCAATTCTAAATCAAGCCAGGAAGAGTTTACCCATCATTAGTCTTGAGCTGCTGTGGTCTAACACTTCATAATTCATTTGTTTATTTAGACGAGGAACCTCCTCTATCTTAGAGGCACAGGGGCCAGTAAATGCATTCCAGACACAAAGCACAAAAGACAGATCTCTATCCTGAAGGTCCATGATCTAAAAGGATTTATGACAATAGTTGTCTTTTGCAAGAGCATCAGAACCCCTAATGTGTTTGGGTTTAGCAAGTGGGATAATATGTGCAGCTCATTTGAATGACTTGCCAGGTTGAATGTCAATAGACATCTGGACAGGGACTGCTTTCAAGTGATAGTTCTGAGATACGCTGCTGTTTGGTTTAAATCAGTGTCTTTCTCTGGGTGCCATTGTCCAGTTTGGTACAAAGGACCTCTTTGTGGGCATGTAGTTAGAGGCTTGTTGCCACTGGATACCTGATTGCATAGTCACAAAGCTTGCATACATGGTACAGATATCAGTACATGCAGTGGTGTTGTTTAAAAAGCCTATTGTCTTACAGAGATCTCATTCAGTGTCCTGTTTATTTTTGGGTATGCCAAACTGCAGGTGTGATGGCTGGCTTCAATATGAGTGGTGATCTCCGGAAGCCTGCAATGAGTATCCCCCTAGGATCCTTGTCTGCGATAGGCATCTCGTAAGTCCCTTCAGTACAGGGGTGGGGGGATCACTCATAGTAACTTTTTCTGCCATGTGTGTGTATGTATCTCGTAGGCACAATAAATCCATTTCATATACAATCAGCCTCTAATTATCTGACAGATCAAATCTTGGCCATTCCTTAAATAATCTCCCATTATGACATTCCATCCTGGATGCCTTGACAACAAGATTAATTAATTAGAAGATAGGTAAAAATTCCACAATTTCCTTTTTTAAATGTAACAACAGCCAAAACCACTCTGTGTGAACATGACCAATAGAGCCAGTGTGGTGTAATGGTTAAGAGTGGCGGGTTCTAATCTGGAGAACCACGTTTGACTCCCCACTCTTCCAGCTGAGTGACCTCGGGCCAGTCACAGTTCTCTCAGAACTCTCTCAGGGCGATTTCTCACTAGAGCTGCCTCGCAGCACAGCGCCGTTTGCCTCGACACAAACATGTCGATTTCACACCCGAAGCTCCGGGGCTGCATTTTGACTCAGGGCTTCGCCCAATTTCCTCCGCAGTTTCGTGATTCTGGTTTTTGAGGATCATGAAACTGCTGAGGAAATCGGGCGAAGCTCCGAGTCAAATGCAGCCCCGCAGCCTTGGTTCCAGGCTGTACAGGGCTTTAAAAGTCAATACTAGCTCCTGTAATTGAGCGTGGAAGCAAACTGAAAGCGTATATAGATGGAACAAGACTGGTGTGCTACGGTCCCTACAGCCCAGTTCAGTCAACACTCTGGCTCCAGCCTTCTGTGTCAACTGCAGCCGCCGTCTTCAAGGGCAGCCCCTGTAAAGCCCGTTGCAATAATTTAATCTAGATGCAACCATGGCATGCACCACAGTGGCAAGATCTTTCCTGCCCAAAAGAATGGTATGCTGTTGTTTTTTTAATGGTTTTTTTTTTAATGATTGATGGGCCCTCATCTATTTGACACTAGTCTTTTTATTTTTTGCAGGTGGTTTCTTTATATAGTCTTTGTTTTTTTGCTGGGAGCCGTTTGTACCCGGGAATCACTCCGTTATGATTTTATGATAGCAGAAAAGGTAACTAACTAAACGCATGAAATGGTTCACTCAGTGCCAAAAGTACATTACTCTCAAAATTTACATATTTTAAAGCACTGTAGTCAGAAGTATCAAAGAAAGCCGTGTGTTTGTATACTGAAGTGTTCCAAAATTGGAAAAAAATACATCCAAATTCATTGCACCAAACAAATAAATGACTTTCCGGTTTGTTACTTTGTATAGTTTATTCAGTTTTCAAGATTCAGAAATCTGGAGACTGGGGGAAATGACTTGAATTTCAGAGGACGTGAAGAGAGGGATTAGAGAGTGAAGACAGACATCCAGTAGGGTCTGCTACAGGATTCAGTGAATGTTGTTATCACTGTTGTTAGATAGCTGTTTAACATCACCAGATATTTCTATATACTGCTGCAAAGTATAAAGTGTGGGACAATGTTTTCCATGGCACATGCATCCTCCTTAACATCTAATTACGACATAGGCAGGGGTCGTTTCGTAGAAAAATGGAGAGAGTTGAAGTATCAGAAGGCGCCTAAAACATGTATCTGTGGAAGTCCAGGAAATGATTTGCTGGGTTTTGACGAGAGGTAGCTAGTTTGGTGGGAAGGGTATTCTTGACATAGATACTGCATGAGGGGGAAGTAGGAAAGGAAAAGTGAAAGAATGAGTCCAGATGGATGATATGCACTGCAGAGAAGCTAGAAAGGAAGATAAGAAGAGAGCCATGAGTAATGGAGAGCCTGAAATAACATGGACTAGGGGCTTCACCTTGTTGCAGAAAGAGGCAATGCAAAGGCTGACTGAAAACGGAGAACGGGTAACCGTGGAAGGTGCTGCAACTTGATTCTCGTCTCTTCTTATCTCATTTCTGAGATTTTTACAGACACTTTCTAATTGTTCTTTGTATTCTTCTGCACCTTTTGGGAAATGTGTCTTTAAAGAAAGAATATGAAGCTTAAATGTTCAGGATCCCAAAGTCTAACCAAATTTTCGCTCGTGTAATGATTCTGCAGGCTCGGCCCTGCCATGTATTGAAGGGATTTGGATTCTTGATGACACAAAGCTTTTCTTTGACTGCATCTTATGAGACTTTAATAGACATTCTCAAGTTCAAGAATGAAACTGCTGTGAGGCATGCTGCGTCCAGTAATTATCCATGCAAGCCATTGATAAGTAAAATGCAAAATAAAATTTCAAAACACAAGTAGTTGCAA